CACCTGTCATGCTGAATTAGTGGTGAATGTGCATAACCAGGAGCATAGCACAACCAGAATTTACAGCCTTAAAATGAAAGAATATTGAATTTAGACACTTCACTCCATGCAGAAGTGTGAGTTATGGAGGCCCTGGAATAAAAACATACTTAACAGCTGACTTTATTGAACAGTGTGAAAAATGTGTTCTTAATTTCGAGTTAGTGTTGTGAAAATAAGGGAATTAAAGAGTAGGATTTAAAGCATGATACATGCACAGAACACTCCAACAGGTGTCTACCAACACATGTAGTGAAGGCTGCATCTAATCATGGTACTCGGTTTTACCTGCCAGCAAGAGTTTGTGCTCTATTAGAGCAATATATCAAATTGCAACGTGAAAACAATGTGGCACTGTGGAAGAGAATTGCTGGTATCGACGAACCTGCCGAGAATCATCACCTGAATCTGCAGATCTCCTCTGCTTGAGCTTTACAGCGAGTTGCAGTTCATTGTTTAGCTGTCCAGCCCTACTGCTTTGGTTCACTCTCGCCACTCTCGTAGCGTTTTTGGCCACAGCAGGCAGCTGTTTTTCATCAAAGAAGCGCTAAAAACCCTCAGTACACTGCCTGCTCTGGGTTAAAAGGCAGACAGACACAGTTAGAGACTAGCTGGTGAACATAGCGGCCACATTTCCTCACTAATTGGTAGAAACCAAAATCAGGGAGTGAATGTCGGAGAAACATTCACGGGGGGTTCCTAAATCAGAGTTTAAAAAAGGAACGCTGCTGTTTAACAGTTTAAAAAGTGATGACGTGTGGTCACAACTTGTTCAACTGCTGTCCCTAAACAGCCAGTTGCTTGAGTTTTAAATTTTATATGAAACTGCAAAACCTTGGCAATCTTGAGTCGAAGGTGTCAGAATTAAGATCTGTCTTACAATTTACAGATATAGATTTTTCCATAAAGCAGCATCAAAGCCCCATGTATACTGTACAGGGCTGGCTCAGCTCACACATACAAGAATCTTATTAAATCATTCTCAAAACCTCTAATCTTCAAACAGGCCTGATTTGCCCGTGCAGGCATACCAACAAACATTGGAATATGCTGTAGGCCTCAGTTTGTGTCTCACATGTATTATTATTATTACAGCCAAATCACTGCGCTAAGTACTTGGTTTTCTGAGAAAAAACTATCTGGCAATGTTAAGATAACCTTTAAGGTCGTCTGATAACACATACCACAGGTCTGATGACATTTCCATAATTCTTCAAGACTCCTTTTTTCTTATCTGGTCAAGAAAATATATCTGTTAGACAATAAAAGATATTTTTAACCACATTCTCAAGATGTGACTCTTTTTCTAAATCGAGGTGGTAGCCAGAATTGGCATATCAGAAATTATGTCAATCAAAATTAATCAGCTATTTGTGTTGATGTGTGTTCCAATGTTTTATGTCTTTGGATAAAATAATTTTCCACCTTTTTGCTTATGCTTTACAGTACAGCACAGAGGTTTAGGTTTGGAAGACATACAGTTGTACCTTGGGAAATGTTTTTCTCCTTTTTGTGCATTAGAAGTAGCATTTCTCTGAGGATAATGCACACCTTTAGGAGAGCAGTGAGCATTGTTAAATGACGTCTACTGCTATTTTTTCCGCAAAAAAGGGCTGCATCTGTGATTCAAATTGAATGGTAATACAGGAGAGACACAAAGTGGGACCAACTGTGTTCTTGTGTGCTGAGCCCGAGAAGGGGTCTGACTTTTATTATAATGCCCAGCAGTTGCGTTTCATAACATACTTTTCAAAAAAACTGCTATAACATGAACAATAGCTGGATTTTCTATTAGCTCTTGCTGTTCCATGGCCTTCATACTGTTCATGCTGGATGGCTGTCGTGGTTCACCTGCATGCCTAAGTGGAGTGCAGCTATCACAGATGTTATTAGGTGCACTTGTGCTTTCAACGCTATAACGAGTCCAAATGTCAGCAATTACTACTGTGAAAAAGGGGCTCTGTCAGAGGCTGTAATGAATCCGTTAAATTACTCAGGTTATTATTATGTGGTCAGTTTTGCTATGCACTCAGTCCGGATAAAAGTGCTCATATAGTGGTGGATGCACTTTTTAATCCTCGTCTTTTCTCTAGAACTCATCCTCAACCAAAAACATTTATATTAGCAATACTTTTTGAATAGAATCCAATGAACCAAATGGGAAGAAAAAAAACTTTGCATGATGGAATTTACATGCACTATGGAGTACAATTAAAAGATAAGGGGGACAGTTTGAAAGTGATTTTAATTGGATAACATTGTTTATTATAAATCTTCATACACCTTTCTGACTGTCTGTGCAGCTGAGGGTCTTTATACCAATGCATATTAAAAGAAAGTAAGATTTCTACAAGCTTCACACATTTTTGTCATTAAATGCGTATAGTTTTAGCTATAGCATTTCAATACCAGGCAATATGTATTTGTTTACATATCTATAATTTTTCATTTATTTGGTCTTAAATCCTTTAACTTGGGAAGTACTTTGTCTCAAGCTTGAAAAGTTCTGTTTAAATACAGTGATTATTATGATATGCTCTAGGATACTGTACACACAAATGCCAACGCGGTCTCATTAATAATTCAGTCATTGGATAATTTATTCATTAACGACCTTATCATGGTTGTCTGGAAGAAGACAGTGGATTAGCCGGTCTCAGGGGAACAGACATCTGTTTCCTTCTGCCTTTCTCTCTCCCTGTTCGGTTTTCATTATGTGAACATGGTGCAGATAAAGAGCAACAACGTTAAACAACATGCAGAAAGTCCATCACTGCTCGCTGAGTTCTTCAGATAAGGTGAATAATGCTCCCTTTAATGATGGAGATGATAGATTTATTCAAATCTGGTTATTTGGGACTTGAGAGTTAAACAAGTGAGGATGGGTGAAGATTACTCATCAGTCCTACAACAAGATTCACTGTCGATATCTTAAGTGATTTAATCAGTACTGTAAAGGTTTTGTAAAGTATTATCAAGTTAATACTTTGCTCCTCAAGTACAATGACTTTAGGCCTTGCAGTTTTCTCTAGACTGGCATCACACAGAAAGAGGAATATTAAATTGAATGACTAAATATACACTTTTTGTGCATTTTGGAGTATGTTGGATAAGCAAAATATATAAGTTAATATTTAATTCCATTTAAATAATTTAACACAGGCTGGAAAGTTTCTTTTTCAGCGTTGACATTTATCAACTCAGACTGATTGTGGAATCAGTTTACTTACTTCTACAGATACATAAATGATTAACAAAAGAGAATCACAAAATTTGGCTCACGAGCATGAACAATGACATGTAGGAGAATATTTGGACTGTATAGTGTAATTTTAACAGAGTGGTATATTCTTATTGTTGTCATTGGGTTAGAACTAGTTTTGTGGGGTTTTTAAGACCAAATTTAACAAATGTTCAATCCAAGGTAAAACAGCTTCCTTCAAAATGTCTGCTTGTTCTCTGAGCCACAACTCAGTCAAATCTGAACATACAGACACAATGAAGACAGATGTTCACATTTATTGTGAGTTCCACTTCCTGATGATCATCTCTGATTTGATCTCTCGGCCCTAATCGCAAATAAACAAGAATAAATCTGCTTGTAAATGTTTGGAAAAAGACATTCCTCATCAGAAATTGCCCCCAAATCATCATGTCTTGAAGTTTTGTTCAGTTTACAACTGCACACTAATAATGAGCACATTAAAAAAATGTAGCCCCTAATAGCTTATTCTGTGTGCTTTTTACTGTGCTAATTTGGCAAAATCTTGCCCAACATTGTAGTTTCAGTTGACATCCTTTAAAGGTGCAGAATTATGACAACTGTAATAAAAAACAAAATCTAGAGCAGGATTGTCTAATAAATCAAGTTACAAAATCCAATAGTACTTACTTTTTTCATGGTCATGCATTAATGCAGCTCAGGATGTTCCAACAACATTGTTCTTATATTCCTCTAATATACCTGCTCTATGGGGAAAACCTGTGGAGAAAAAGACAATAAAACGACAAAACAAAACAAAAACTTGATATAAGGCACCAGATTTCTTAGTTAAAGCTAAAATCTGGACATGCACTCCCAGTTTTCTCCAGAAGAGGTCATCCTCAAATCCTTTCGCAGGGTCATCCTGTGAAATCTTCTAAATCCTCTTCATTTTATCTGCACATATTGAGGCCACCGTGCCATATCAAATTGCCCTTTCTTTTGCAAAGACCATGTCTTTATTATCAATATTTGCTTAAACCTCCGTGAAGCCAAGAATAAAAAAAATACCTTGAGTGGATTCTTGTGAAAATCAATGTTTGATTCACCTTGTCAGCAAGATTTTTTTCTTTTTCAATAGATTAATTTGCAACATGATGCTCCTCATTTGTCAGAGCCCATGAGGTATTGGAGCTGAAGCACACCCACAGTGCAGAGGATCATTGACATTCAGGAGCTGTCACCGCCTGCCCTACTTTCTAGATAAAACCACTGACATGTTAAATGAAGTAGAAGTTACACTAATGTTTCTGCGTTGTCACAGGACTAACGGACAGAGAGAAGCGTCTGTATTCAAACACCTTCACTGTCCTCTGCGAGAGTCCCCGTCTAACACGGCTAAGTAGGTAAATGTGATTGAGTATTGATCCGAGCATTGGAGGTTTAGCTTCCATCCATTACTTGAAAGGACACGAGGAGAGAGGAGTGAAACAGTCCTCGGGGAGGAACCCCCTGATGCTCTGATGACTCTTCATTCACTCAGTTATCTAAAAATATTTTCCATGGCATACTTTGCAGATTCATACAGCCTCCAGAGGGACAACAGCACCACCCAATGGACACAAGAAAATATAACAAGGAAAATATTACATATGATTTGTGTATTTGCTGTAAGTCGTGCTGTTGTGCCGTGCAATAGTAAAACTTTCTAATATTAGTAAGCAAGATACATTTTCACAAATTGTAGACAAAATTTTTGTTGAAGTTTTAGATTTTTTTATTCTCTCATTTAGAAATGATGGTTCTGTTTTCTGTCACTTTGTCAGAAACAACCAAGCACAAATCACCCTGGTCTCAGCTACTCAGCTAGATTTGGAGCCTCTCCACACACAGTCAAGAGCTCACGTCAGAGTCACTCACTCTTTGTCTTTTTTTGTCTCTCTCATACACACATATTTACACACACACACACTCTGATCCCCAGCAAAAAGGCATCCACGCAGGATTACGGTGGCACTGTAGAGATATTATATCATAGCAACACCATAGCAACGCTGCCTACAGCTGAAACAAAGAGAGCCAAGGCGGTGCCATGGCAAAGCGAGCTCGAGTCTGCTATTGCTCTAGTAAAGGATGGTGTTTGGAAAGTTTCACATTTCAGCATATCAATATGATAGGAAGACCCTGAAAAACTATGATGTCTGATCTGCTGGCACAGAAAGCGTTGCAGATATTTACAATACAGGCTGTACATATGTTTAAACTGCAGATACACGGGCACAACCATGCACGCACGCATACACGCAAAATTTCAAACATGCTTCCCAGAAGCAGTGAAATGGTCACATGTCTTAGACATTGTATAAGATGACAGCAGAAAGTAATAAAAGTAACGGTAATACCATATACAGAGATATAATGACAATAATAACTTTAAAATGGTGTTTCACTTAGATAAGATTAACACTGAAAATAGTGACAGAGAACTAAATCAACAGTGAACTCAAACACAATGTATCCAAAGCACATTTATGGACCCGATGAGTGTTTCCCCTTTATGTGATTCAGATCCCTCATGTACTCGGCTTTTCCTGAAACTAGTGCACGTTTCACAACATAGTGCTGACACATATCCATATTGTTCTGGTAGATTTTAGAGCACAGAGGTTTTTGCATCTTTACAGTATCTGTAGAATGCAGTATAATGACTGCATATATAAATGTGAATATGGAAGTCAACAGCTTTGTAGAAGGAGTATAAAGGCTGATGTAGATCAGGGATGTCCAGTTTACGTTAGCTACAATATTACATATGGTCGATATTTACGTGATAAAATCAGATCGGGGCTGGATGTTTCCTGCTTTTTCAAGTATGGTCAATAATCATTTAGAAAAGAACAACCGTTGCAAATAGTTTCAACCATATTTGTCATGTATATTCTGTTGGCAGGCCATGTGACATGTCAAAGACACAAAGTTTAGACAGATTTCTTAGAATAAGGTTAACTTTTGTGCAATTTTTGATTGTACATATTATAAAATCAGCTTTAGTTATGTGTTTCAGGTATTCACCCTATTACAATACCTAATATGTCAGATTAAACATAACCCCAACCAATATAGCAACCATCTTACCTGCTGGTGCTGTTTTATTGAACCTTTCTTTTCTAGATGTTGTATTAGACATTGAGGATTTGAATGAATGAAACAAAGCAATAAATAATGATAATTCTTTCTGTCTACACACCTCAACAAGGTTGCAAGCTAATTTTAGGAAACATCAATGGCTATTCAAAGACACTCGTATTGCTTGTTTCACATTTAGAACCGGAAACCGACGTGGGTTGTGTGGTTTAATAAAAATGGCTTGGAAAATATAATTTATGACATAAATAAGTAATGATGTGTTGTTGAAAGACACCTGATGAAAAAAAATGGCAAAAAAATACTCTTTCTAGTGTGTGTCCTTCCGTGTGTGTGTGTTTGTATTCGATACAGTATTGTACAGTAAAGCTCCCTGTCAATCAGCACCTTGAAAAGACACTAAAGTCCATGATTACCCTCCTGGGTCACTGCTTCTCAGGCCCAGCTGCTCCGGCACTGTGACCCATAATAAAGCACGACTGCTGGGGTTCAGCTTTTGGCCTCGGGGCTCATCTGATCTAAAGGGAGGAAAGAGGAGCGAATCCTTTGGGCTTCACTGACGCACAGGTGACCAAATGCTCTGTTGTACCATTCTGGAGATCTTCCCCTGCAACGAGAACAGCGAATGACACACGTTAAATGCCTGCAAAGCTGATTAAAAAAACCTTTGCTACGGAAGCCGCTTGAAGGCCGCCCACACCTGAGGTCCACTCTGGAGATGTGCGTGAGCCTGGTCCTGCCCGTCCCACAGGGCTCCAGGAGGTATTGCGACTCCAGCACGACCCCCCTCACGGCCCCCATGCGTGGGCTGTCGTCATGCTCGACAGACACGCACACCAGAGCGCAGGAGCCTTTGCACAGGTCTGTACGCCAGGATCTGAGGGGGCAGAGGCACAAATGAAGAGAGGCGGTGAGTTAAGTCAGGCATATCATGTGGGAGTGTGAGATATTGTTTGGCATGTTTTTTATTATTACAATCTATCTCAACTTTCAAAGACAGAGACCAATTTGTACGCTCTCATCTTATCACGCTTGGATTACTGCAATAGCCTTTTTACCTGCCTGAACCGAAACTCTATTTACTCCAGAACTCAGCAGTCAGGGCTTTTGATCGCATTATTACTGCTGCTTTAGGCTCCTTTCACTGGCTCCCACAATGTTTTCAACTAGATTTTATGATTTTACTGATTACTCTTTAAATCTTTTACAGTTTCTCTGCCAGCTGAGATGTTAACCTTCTGAACTCAAAGCAGTTTCTGGGCATTTTTTTTTTTTTCCTGCTGCCATATTTTTCTTCACTGTGAGCTGTTTTTGAAGCGCTGATTTCCGATTTGTATGTGATACATATCTTGAAAAGTGCTCTATGAATAAAGATTATTCTTTTTATTATTATCATTATATTAGCACTTAAACCAACAACTCGCTTCTTTTTCAGTCAATCTGTAGACTATTTACTTGGTTAATCACATCAAAAAAATGTTCATCATGATATCAAGGAACACAAGACGGTGCTAGTAAATGTCTTGTTCTGCCAATAAATGAAAGAAACCAGAAGATTATCACATATGAGGACCTCCAACCATTACATTTGATATTTTTTCCTGCAAAGAATGACAAATGCTTAACCGATTGTCTTTTAATCAACTAATTAAATAATATTTGCAGCTCTACTTCTTACAAAGTATCTTACTTTGGAAATGTTTCCTTATTTTAGGAACTATTGAAGAAAGTGTTTCATAGTGACTGTCTGAAAATACATATTGTGATTATAGCTGTTCATTCAGTTATTAACAATGCAAATTGACTGCATACATTTCCTGACATGCTATGATGTATTCAATTTAATAATCCTCTAGATAACAACTTCTATACTAAGTGAAGCAATCCTGACCTTAGTACCACATAGTCACAGCTGGGTTGAGGTGCCATGTTGCAGCAGGAGTACTGGTACACGTCTGTCTGTTTGTCAAGTGTCTCCAGAATCTTCTCCTGCTGGAGTTCGGTCTGCCACAGCGGACGCTCCCTCAGCAGCCGCTGCAGCACCTCAGTGGGAGTTGCCGACACCTCAATGCAAACTCGCCACCGTCTTAGAGGGTTACCATCTCCCACCTACACACAAACCCAACAGGAACTTAAATATTATGTAAATCTGTGCACAAAAAAGCGTGTCTCTGTGGATTGCCCTTTAGTTTCCATTTATTAAGTTCACACCACTTCTGGAGTTAAACTTCTAGGGTGTGTTTTTACTTAGTGAGATGATAACTCTAGTGTGGTGTGCTATATTTATACAGTTCCTAACATTCAGTGTTTTCTCTACTTCTTTCCTGTCCCCTTTACAATCTAATAACATTCTAGAAATTCAATGACAGCACACCTTCTTAAATGCCAGTTCTGTGTGGTCAATAGTCGAGCGAGACACCCAGCCTTTGCTCTTATCTTTGGCCTCTTTCAGCAGGGTCTGGATCAGCCTTTCTAAGTGCGCGTGATAGGATCCTTCCTCGTCTTCTTCTTCCTCGTCCTCATCCACTTCTTCCTCATGAGCCTTGCAAAGCTCGTCCAGCGGGGGCACCATCAGCTCTGCCTCCATGTAGGAGTTGCGAGACTGGGTCACCATCTCCTCGGGGATCTAGGGAACAGCCAGAGAATGTGCATCGAATCACATCACGGCACGTCAGCTCAGGTCTAAATGCAACCACGTCTAAAGCACAAAATAGACTGTGCAGTGAGTGCAGTTTCACTGGGTTGCCATCAGACTCTGCTGCCATCATGGTTCTGCTAGCACAAGTACTTTAGTAAGTAGGTGAATATGTTTTGGTACAAAAGTGAAGCAATATTTTTGCAACAAATGTCTACTTCTTTTCCTTCTCTATCCATGTCCATGTTTTAGAAGAATTCCTCTATTCTCTGTGGGTTCAGAAGAGTCAGTCATTCTTGCTTGTATGAAAACTCTTTACCACATTAAACTCAAACATGCATAGCAATCAAGTCTGTTTTTCTTAAAACCTGACAGCAGCAGTACATATTGTGAACGCTGACAACCTCAACGTAATGATGATATAGAGTCTCAGAAATGAGCTCATTGAACACAATTATAGCGTGGCTTTGAATAATAACAACTCAGCTGGGGAAACATCAGTCAGCTTCATGTTTGTCTCTTAATGTCATACATAAAGATGAAGCCGTGCATTATTTCTTTGTGGGCAAAAAATGAACACTGGTGCATTTGATCCTGACCTGAAAGAGACGCTGGCACTCAGTGATCATGTGGGCTAGGCCCTGGGTGGCAGCCAGGTTCTCACTTAAGTCCTTCTGATCGGGACGGCCTGTGGTGTACTTCCTCTGGATTGACCTTGAGGAACAGAAATCGTACAGAAAACGCAGAGAATGTAAATATGTGACCATTTACATAGAGAGACAGAAAAATACAACTGTAATCATAGGTAGGTACCACACATAAGACTATTGTGCAAGTCAGATTTTTACAGATTGCTGAGAAAAAATCTATAATTTAATTCACATCTAGCAAACATCAGTGCTATTGGTTCATATGTGCACCTCGGTGACAGCGTCTCGTTCTTTAGTATGCTGAGGTGGAAGAGCGATGGTCCCAGACAAACTGCCAGGTTCATCGGCGTCATCTGGTTCTCCTCCACCAAGGAAGTGACATCACACAGGAAGTAGAGCAACGTCTGCAGGACCTCCCTGTTTTCATCAGGCATCAACAAAATGGCCGCCCTGACGGCCTGCAACCTCTGCTCCTTTGGGACATCTGAAGAAAGAAGAAATGGAGATGAGGAGGAGATGTAGAAACAACGCTTTACACGAAACAAAAATAGAAAAGCAGCGTGCTAAAGGTCTTCTTTTTTGACTTTTAGTTTAAGGTCTCAGTTCTATTGTTATGACTAAAGAAACATTACTTGAACCAATTGTGTGCAAAAGGTTTTTGAGCTATGCAACACATTTTTGACCAATAAGTAAATCTACACAGTAGTCAGGTGTGGCTTAAAGGGACAATGATCAAACAGTGTGACAAGTACACTAAACTTCCTTTGACCAGTCACCACAAAAGACCACCTTAAAATGTGGCTTCTTTCCATAGACAACAAGAGTGAATGTCCACAACTTCAAGCCATCTAAGTAATTGTTTCAGACAGGTTGGTACAATAGACAATCTGCCACATGACCGCAGACTACGTGTCCCACCCCTGTGCAGGATTGTGGCATCTGGCTCGTCCATCTACGGAGTTGGCTGCAGAGACTGCTGAAGAAGTTGCTGGTTTGCGCAACCAGACAATATCTAATGACAGTGTGCGGAACTCCCTGAGGGAAGCTGGTTTGCGATCTGGCTTCTGTAATTGGCTCCAGTGGGCAGCCACTCACGTTCATTAAACACTAGCAAGATAGAGGACAGTCCTTTTTATTGATGAGTCTTGCTTTAAGGTGTACACAACAGATGCCAGACGTTGCATTTGACATCGTACAAGGTGAAGCTCTAGCATTATGCATAGAGCAGCAGTGAAGGTGGATGAGTAATGAAATGTCATGTACAAAGACACATCTGTATTTTATTGATGACAATCTCACTGCCCAACAATATGGAGGTGAAATCCTAACCTTCCCTGTAATCTTGTTCATTCGTTGCCATCAACTGGAATTTCAACAAGACAACATCTGTCCTCATGTCACCAGAATACATGGCTCGTTCATGATTTTAGACTAAAAGTAAAATAAAAGGTATCAAACAATTATTGTCAGTGCAACATTACAAGAATGTATCCCAGCGCATCATCAAAAACTATGGAGCATGCCAGTTTTGCTTCCACAGCAATATCTTGACAACTTACCACCAGACTAACCACGGCTGTATGATAGATGAGCGTCAGTCCTTCGTATAATAACTTCTGTTTTACTGATCATACTACTCAGGAGGGATAAACTCGAAGTTTCTCATCCATTCCCGCTCATATGATTGGTTGCTTGAGGAGGCAGTGGTGACACCAGCGCCTCTCTGAAAAGTTTCTGAGAGATTTTCAACAAGAAGTTCTTAGAGCAGCTGCACGCTCTCCCCTCAGTGTGTACAACTGAATAAAGATGCTGTGTTTGCTGTGTTTGTGTTCATACACTAACAGAATTTTCAGTTTGAGTTCAACATTAATTTTCTCGTTGGCGATATCACCCAAACTCGATTACCTCCTTGACCAGCATATCAGGCAAAGTATGATCATGTGAAATTATGAAGAAAAAAAAACAACAACAAGCATTTGCGTTTGTTATTTTGCTAAACAAATAAAAACCATAACGGTCGCATCCTCCTAGGCCAATGTCAGCTGTGACTCTGAGGCGACTTACACTGGTAAATGTGCAGGAAGGTTTCCCCCAGCTTGCTTGTCAGCAGAGGTTCAGGCAAGTCTCTGAAGAACTGTTTGACCATGTCGGCCACGTCATACGCTGACTGATCCTCGTAGCTCACACAGTCTGGGGACAACTCACACTGCTGCCTCAGAGCCTGAATACGAGACTTGACGCCGGACTTGCGGAACAATCCCACCTGTGAAAAGAACAACAGAGGAGGGGTGGAAAAAGAAACGTGTGCAGAGTTTAGCTGCTGCATGTTTGAAATTTAAACAACCAACATTAACACTGTGAGAACGAGCTCTAATCCAGTCTTGTAAAAGCTGTTTTCTAACCTGGTCCAGACAGTGTGTTCTGAGGTGGCTGAGAGCTTGTTGTAAACACAGGGGGAGTGGAAACCCACAGCGCTGGACATGGACGATGAGGGGAACACCGAAAACACTCTTCTCTTTGTAGTCAGGCACCTTCATGCGCTTCATAAACTTGGGCACAGACCTGGGAGCGATAGACGGAGAACAATTAGGGAAGTGTGTGAGAGAAAGAGCAGCCTGTGCTTTCATTATCTTTCTCTTCATGTGGATGCTGGTCAACAGAATTTCCCTCCTGGGGATAATAAAAAATGAACGGGACTGGCCGTGAACAGCACAAGGATATGCTTGTGTTTGCACAGAGACTGATGGCGTGTGATGTGTGCCTGAGAATGTAGTTTTGGTCCAACACTGGTGCATGCACGAAACCATTGATGTTGGGGCTTTAAAAACATCCATGAAGGTGTTAATGATGCATATGGTGCTACTGTAGAGTTGTAGGGGGCAGTAAAAATAACTAACAGAGGCCACTTCAAAAACAGTCATACATATACAATACAGCATAGCTTGAGAATATGGTGAAAAAATGTGATCCAGAAGTTTACAGTAATAGTTTCAGATACTTTCCATTTTTGAAACTACATCTTGTCAATTCCCTAAATTATCACGAATGTAGAAAACACACATGTGGATTGTGTGTTTATGCTCACCACGTCCAGCCATGTTTATTAGACATTGAGTATTTCTCCATGATGGCGGTGAGCCGGAGCAGAGAAAACTTCTGCAGCAGACTGAGCTGGCCTGCTGATTGGCTGTTGATCTGCAGAGAAGATGCTGGCTGGTTGAGATGATCAGAGGTTCTGAAACTGGGCCATCGCAGACTGGGACAGGAAGAAAATACCAGTAAACAATGAGAGACAGTGACTCAGTCGGTGTAAATATAATTCTGGTGTATTTTGGGACTTATTATTATAGCTTTGGGCAACTAGTTCTTCGGAATAGCATCATTGCTGAGATCTGGGAATTTCTCAAAAAGAAAGAATCATGCTGGTTTTAACTTTCTGAGCTTCAAGCAATTTCTGTGTGTCTGTCACATTTTTAATTCACTTTGGGCTAATTTTTCACTGAAATATAAAGTTCTGCACCTCTATGCAAACAGCACAACCATGGTTAGAAGTAGAGGAAACTCAAAAATGTCTACTGCACAGTGTGACAAAGATATAAAGCCAAAAATCTTTTTTTTTTTTTAAAGAAAAAAGAAAATTCAGTTTCTTTGACCATTTTTTTTCTTCCAAAAAATGGTGAAAAGCCTGGAATCAACTTGTACAGTGTTTTTTGGAAGTGTCCACAATGCTATTAATGCTGAAAAAATTGGGCACATTTCTATACTTCTACTTTTTAGTTCTGCCCAGTCAACCACAATGTCCATGATTTTTTTTGTCATGTGAGTTTTTATTTTTATTTTTTCACCAAAACTGCAAAAGATTTATTTTTGGTAACTGTTTAAAAGAAATGTAAAATACAGTGATCTTCACAAAAGATCACAATTTTATTCTTGGATTTGGAGAAGTTTCCTAGTGGAACCACATGTATCAGATGAGTAGATCAAGGACTGTCAGAGTTGTCAAAGTTGAAAATCTGACAATACTTTTGGTCTTAACAGTTTCTGGCTGACAAATTGTGTAATTTAAGATAACATGCCTTTCAAATCCACTGGTTGAACAGATTTGTTTTGCAGAGAACATGAAGGTTAAATCTTTCCAAGTTAAAGAACGGCTTCACATTTTTAAAAATTAGTCTTAAGACAATAGACAGATGTCAACATGAAAATACATTAAAAACTGATTTTGCGTGCCGTACTTATTCATCTTTTTCGTATTAGTCCTGAAAACATTTGTTCCCAAATCAATTTTACTGTAGTCAAATCAGGTTGATATCTTCCAAAGTTTGAATATTTTCGTTCAAAATTACACGTTTATCTCGTTCTGTTTCTTTACTGCAGCTTGACAAGAAAAGATTGTTGTGGGGAACACAAAGAGGGGAAGTTGTAATATAAAAAAAAATAACTTTGGAGAGTACCCACTAGATTTGTCAAACAGACTGACAGAGCCTCATTTTACCTTCAGATAAACTGTGGAATGTATTTTGACCTCCATCACGTACACTAACTGTGCTTGGAGGGATCTGTCAAAAGTTACTGTCAACAGAAGCACGATATTGTGATCCTGTTCTTGAATATGTGTCATAGTTTATGGACTATGATCCAGCTTTGCCAGTTTTCCTGTGCATTTATTGATTATTGCTTCTATTTTGGGGGCCTCATTTTTGGTTTCACCTCCAAATAAAGCGCTTTAGATGATCAGGGTAAGTTATTGGCTTGTGTTCAACCAGCGTGACTGTTTTTTGCATTGTTGGGCTTCGTCGCCGTGGTGTCGGCAGGTTCCAAGATCTCAGCTATTACTGCGGTGAGTGAAATGTTATTATAAGCAATAAAAATTAGGGCCAAAACTATAAAAACAAGACCCAAGTTGTAATAAACCATAATTATCCTTTAAATGCCTAAACAGCTACTCACCGCGGTCTCGTCAGGGAGGCCCCGACTCCGGAGTCCCGCCTCTCCCTACTGGTGCCCGTCGAATCAGTGTCATTGAGGGAGACCCCATCTCTCTCGCCTTCGCTGGGGGTGGTCCTGCCCTCCGCTTCCTCCTCCCCCTCCGCTGTGTCCCCCTCGGGCATCACGCTGCGACTCCAGTGGTCCACTATTTGCTGCAAGCCGCTGACGTGCTGGATGATGTCGTCCAGGTGAGGAAACAGGTTGTCCTCTTTCTCTAAGTCCAGTAGGTCTCCTGTGCTGGCATACAGGTGGGAGCCGGGCACGTTGTCGTAAACGCTCACCCTGCTGCCCCGTGGAGCTCCAGGACAGGGTTTGGACAAAGGTTTACCAGACCAGTGTTCGCCCAGGCCATTGCCAGATGGAGAAGTCTGGGCACGTGTCTGTGAAGCAATGTTCCTGTCACTGGGGGAAGGCGCCAAGCTTTCTATGGACAGGGCTTTTGGAAAGGTGCCTGGTTTATGGTCTTTGGGGATATGAATGAGGAGGTTTTCATATGAGTGAAATTGGTTTCTGCCAAACTGGCTCTGACCCTCAGTCCTCTTACTCTGAGAAAGCAACTCCATATCCTCCAGATACATGCTGCTTCTCTTGCTGGCAGTGCGGGGTTTTGTACATACAGGCTCCTTCACGCTGGGCACCGGTGTCTCTTTGCTGGGGCTCACGCTCATCATGGATAGGTCTGTACAATCCTTGCTGATGGGGACAGGAGATGTGTCACCATCAGTTTGGTGGTTGTGTTTGGGGCTGTGCTCTAATTGGCTGATGGGCGTACACTGGAGCATCTGCAGCGCCTGAGGCTCCTCCCCCTGCAGCACTGGCCCGCTGATGACCAGCGGCGGCCTTCGATTTGAGCTTTTCCACCTCGTCGACGGCCCCCAGGTACGCATGATTTCCATCCGCCGCAAAAACTCCTTGGCTTTACTCCGCCCTCCTTGCCCGTGGCGGCTGCTCTTGATGGGCAGGGAGTTGTAGTGCGGAAGCTCCCTCGGTGGTTGGTAGGAAGCCGAGAGGGACGCCATGGATATGGAGTCTGGCATGGCGGAGGCGGAGTCCTCACTGTGGAGCGAGGAGATCTCTGTGATCTCCTGCTCGCTCAGGTCGGTCAGCACACTCTCGCTGCTCACTGTGCTGTGCAGACCCTCCCCCTGACCTGTCGGGCTGCTTTCAGTGGTGCTGTCCAACAGGAAGTCTTGTAGGCGAGACCAGCGCCTGCTGTTCCACTCGAACGTCCACCTTTTGCTGATGGCCAACGGATCATCTTCATCAGAGTCTTCACCCTGTGAACAAAGGAAATATTAAATCTGTCTTATAAGCAAAAATTGTACCACAAACCCTAAATCAGAATTTCTGCATTCTTGCATTAAGGTCTAAGTTATAATTAATATACTTTTTTTTTTTTAAATCACGATTGATTGTTTTATTTTACTTCTAGGCTTTATTACAAGACAAATCAAGAAACACAGTGTCATAGGTAATAAAAGACATCTTTGGCAATCTATCCTTCATCATCAGATCTAAATTTAGTTAGAATCTAATTTTATGATGTTGACTGACAGCAGCACCAGAGTTTCCTTGGAACCGGACCATAACTGTGTATGAGTAAAAATGAAACTGTAAAGTCCTCTTCCTTATTCATGCCACTTGCCAAACTACGTTGTATTCTTGTAAATTATTAATAAAACAAAGGCAGACTTTAAAAAAACAAAAAAACAGAAGCACTGACTTACTTTCTTCTTTGGGTGGCTGACATCCAGTTTCATGGAGGCACACTTGTTCAGAGTATTTAGACGTCTGCAACACAGACATTGACACAGGGTCACATGCTGAAGCCGAAGCTGGTCGACTGCTTTGTCAGTTGTTGTGCATTTGCTTCCTTCTGCACTGTAATCTCTCTTACTTATCTCACTTCACTCTTTCCTCCTGAGTCTGATCAGTCACTCCCAGGCATGCCTCTTACTTGTCTTCTTTCATCTTCTTTTCTGACTGTCTTTCTCACTCCGTCTATCCCTCCCCTCCCACGCTGACTTTCTCCTCCCTCTCTTCTTCCTCCCTCTCTTTCTGCGGCATCACTCCACTGGAACTGATCCTCACCCAGTGCATCTCCCACCGACACACACTCGACTCCTCCCCGTCCACTTTCCTCCCTCCTCCCTTCATCTGCCACCCGTCCTAAAAGCCTCCTCACCCGCCCTCCGTCTCCACCTTCTGCATTCTACAACCTCGGCTGTGAGGAGCAGCTTGTTGAGGTTGTTTGTGTTGGTGCCTTGAAAGACGGGATCATTAAAAACATACTCGTGACCTCTGATATGTGAGAGATTTCAGCCTTGGAAAAAACAAAGTGGGAAATCCTCCTTCCTTTGTTAACTTTCTGTTTTCTAAGCACGCAAACTGGCACACAAAAGACGGCCTGTTGCTACATCACCCACAAAAATACCGACAGCTTTATACGCTGTTTATCATCTCGTGCATGAGTGTATAATTTAAAGTTTAGGCTATGCATTATGAGCGTGTTTTATGGCTCTTGAGACGGTTCTCGGGGGGTCTGATGTGTATTCTCGCACAATATAGCTGTCAGGAATCCCTAACGCTATAATTAACACTCCCTCCCCTACCGTTGGAGAGATGGGGGGGTGAACAGCAGAGAGAGGAAAAGATAAGAAGGTGGGGGATATGCTGGTGTAAGCAAGGACAACTTCAATGAAATGGAAATAGGAGATGTGGAAAAAGAAAGATCACAGAGGTGTGCAGAGAGACTTAAAACACACACTCAAAGCCATCTGCTGGAATATACTGGCATCCCCTCACTCCTTCCCCCCTTTACCCTCACCCATTCATCCCCACCCTCCTCCCCTTATTTCTTGCCCCCTGAGGGTCTCTCCTCTTTGAATGGGAGATCAGAGCGTGGCAGAGGGGAGGGGAGGTGACCAGATCAAAGGCTGGGTGTCTGGGCGGGAGACGTGGATGGGGAGTTCATTAAGGGTCGGGGTCAGACATCTAATGAGCGGCGGTTAGCACCAGGCCGCAGAGAGACAGAGGACTAGAGAAGGAATCTGCGATTTTATTGGTGTCAAATGCGACGGGGAACAAGTGTAAATGCCTTCTCACCGACACAGAGGCTCTACCAGATCCCGGTCCAAAAAGTCGTGGTCCCTTTTCACCGAGGAAATATCAATCGGAAACTGGGAATCTGCGAGGAAGAGGCAGAGAAAAATATTAAGAAAAAAAACAAAGAAGGAAGAAGATGTTGAGCTTTGTTAGTTAATGACTGACAGGAGACAGCAGTTTTTCTCTGCCGGTTAACTGTTAATGAAGTCTGTGAAGTATGGCGCAGCTGTTACTGCCGCTGTTAACACTTGCAGTTTGCATTGAAGTTTTCCAAACCCCCAAAATAACTTTGAATCCCACACGATGCTAAAATGACTCAAGCGTTTTATTTTGGTGATTCTATGTGTGTGGTGGCAGACTGCAGGCATGGTGTGCACCCGGAGGAGCAGCCACAGAGTCCCACAGCCCGGCATCCGCAACCCGACATTACTGGAGCTCCGCTGCGTTTTTTTTTGTTTTTTTTTTCTCAGAGAAGCAGCGTGTGCCTGTGTTTGTATAGATGTGTGTTGCTAAAGGAGGACTGCTGGATTTTTAAGAGCTACTTCTTAGATTACTGGGGCCATTTCCTGTTTGTGCCTCGGCTGCATGAGACCCGATGATCATCACATGAATAAACGCCTGTAGGTTTTTCCAGAAAAGGTGGGAGGGGAAGGAGCAGTTGATAGAGGTGAAAGAAATAAGAGCAAAAGTAAAAGATGACAGGCTTTTTCAGGATAAAAAGTGGGCGGGCGTACAAGGAGAAAGGTGGAAAAAAGAAGAGAGAAAGAGAAGCTATGAGAGTCCCAGCAGTGATAACAAGGCCTTTCCCATGACCCCTCCCTCTGGACAGGAACTGAAGCCTGGAAATAGATTGCAGTGGCCCAGAAGACGGGAATACAGAGATGGAGGGATGGCAGAAAGAAAGAAAGAGAGAGAGACAGATATACAGACAGAAATAAGTGAAAACTAACAAAGCATAGAGATTCAACAAAAGGAGAGATTTGAAGGAGGGGCTCTTTGTGTGAAACAAGGCAGCTGAGTAAAAGCTGTCTGTGTGTGTGTGTTTGTGTGTGTGTGTGTGTGTGTGTGTTACCTTCATAAAGCTGGGCATACTGTGGAAACCCTGCTGCTCTAAGCCAATCACAAGCCTCCTTAGCCTCAATCTCTGCAAAGAAAAAAAAAAAAGCAGTGGAGACGTGTTGAATACACACATGTACAGATTTTTGGAGTTAAGCCTCCCTGTATGTCTACATTTAGTTAGTTTATTATGAAATCTTAAAGCATTTCAGAGTCATAAAAAAACAACAACATCTGGATCCAAAAACAATTTTATGATATTGCAGCATTTCTGTGGAGGAAAGTCCCTAAAATTACTGAATTTCCCTCTGAGACTTGCATTGGAATAATGTCCCCCTCCTGATGGTCTCAATTATTAAACCTAAAAATATATTATAAACACAGATAAATCAAGACGCAGCATCAGATCCCCACATGGTATCTGTGGTTATCCCCTATCTGAGCATTGTGGGTGTACAGGGGAAGAACATCTCAGAGAATTTATCTTTCCTTTGGGAATTCACTGGAATGATGAGGCTGGAAAAAGCTGGAAATTAGCCAGGGAGAGATCCTACAGTACCTCGAAGAAGACAAAGGAAACACAATTCAACATCACGTACTGCACTCACAAACGATGTCCACTCAGATGTACCAGCCGGCAGTCAGATTTCCGCTGTTAATGCATAAATGTAACAGTCTCTTATACATATGGCACCACACCCCATTAGGTGCCGCCGCCAGCACCATGAGACTTTTTACAGGCATTTGTTTTACTACTTTTTTCCGCTACCATATGTATTGCACACGCTGCTTAAGTGGCAGCTCTGAAATGTGCATGTGTGTGTGTGTGTGTGTGTGTGTTTTCTTTATGAGCAGATAATTATTAAACCGCTCTGCAGCCGCTCTTTGTGCTGACAAAGACATCTGAAAGATTTGGTGCCAGCGATCATGACTTTTTAACAGGATGATAAAAACACATGATATATAAGCTGGAACACTGAAACATACATACGCAGAAACACATGTACACACACACACAAGTATAGGTTGAAAAATGTCCATGCTCAGAGCAACTATTTTCTTGAAAGTAAAGAACAAAATACAGATGAAAGAATTAAAATGACAAGTGCAGAGGTTCAAATTAATATAAACCTCCACACAAAGTAATATTAAGCAATGTCACTGTCATCAAAGAATCACCAGCAGCAATGTATCAGTCTACTGCTCTTATCTCATCCCTCTGACAAGGCCCCGCTCATTCACGCTCACTTGTCCCATTCAATCATTTAAAGGTGCTGGCGCTCAACAGGACGGGCACCACAGAAACACAGAGGACAAAGTTCAGCAAGGCAATAAAACGCCTCCGTCTTCACCATCAGAGATGAGAACGGTCCGAGGAAATGATCCCTTCACCGCAATCCAGCAATTACATCCCTTTCCCAACATTCTCAGCATAGCTCCTCTCTCTAAATCACATATGAAGCAACACGGGGGTAGATCATGAAAAAACAGTTTTCTCTGAAAATAGACCGGAGAGAGAATTCCAGCGTTCGTCCAGAGAGAGCCTGCAGGCTGAGAAATGTGAAAACTTACTTGAAGCCCTCATGGTGCGGGTGATGACATGCTTCTATTTCTTTCTCCTTTGCTCAGCCTGAAGTTTCCTCTCCATCCTGTGGCACATCCATTCGCTGCTATGCAGCTTTCCATCAAGTGGCAGCGGTTCTCTACTTTCTCCCTCGCTGTCTTTCCAGCCCTTGTGTTTACAACTCTGCCTCCCTCCAGCCAGCCCCATGCAGGTTTTCTCTTCCCTCTAATTTTCTTCTCAACCTCCTCTCTCGCACTTTTTCATCTTTGTTAGGATCCACATACAATATTTCTCTATTTTTACAGCTCTCTTTGCGCTATGCAGAATTGGACGCCTTCCTTCTTGTCACACTTGTTTAGTTCCTCACTAATTCCCTCTTTGTGCTAATTTCTTTCTACACCTACATGTCATCTTCTATTCATCTCACGCCCTTTGTTTAAAAGGTTCTCTCTTTTTCACCTCTATGCTTTTTCTGAATCCTTCCTACTCCTAATGTCCATTATCTTAGCACCTCCACAATCTCTCTTAACAAAAATACTCCCTCACATACTTTCCTTCATCTGGCCGTCCTATTTGCTTCTCTCACTGCAGCGTCTTCATCCTTTCTCCTGCAAGAACCTCGCCGTTGCCATCAACTCTGCATCTTCTCACCAGCCCTGCTGTTGCCCCCACATCACGTCCACGGAGAGAAACAGCTAATTTCAGCTGGCGTTTGCATCAGCCGGACCCCCCGAGGTCGCAGACGGACAACTGCTGGACGCTAACTTCACATGTCAGCTGAACCTCCTGGCTGACCAACAAGGAAGGAGACTCTGACCTCGGCCTCTTTCTATTGGTTTACGGCGCTACAGTGCAGACCAGAACAACGTGTGGGAGAAAGCAGTGCGTACATGCATGCACACAGCAGCATAGGCACTTCAGAGCTGTCCAGATGTTGCCCCAAGTGAGTCAGAGAATGCAAAAAGGATGAGACAGCCAGACAGCTGGGGTGGGGAGGGCAGCGGAGATGGACAGACCCTGTGGGAAAACCACAGGGAGGAAGACACACCACACCACTGTTTACTGGAATGTGAGATTTTAACAAATATCCACTCTTTTTTACGGAAACCAGGTTTTTAAAATGCAGCCGAAGGGCAGGAAACAGAGAGAGAGAAAAAAGGCAGGAAACCGTGAATGTTCCCGCGTGTCACAGACCTCGTTAAAAAATGAAGAGCACATCAGTGAGCCACATTACTGTAGAGCTGACAAGCTCCATCATTACAATCAACATGAGCACTGTCACAGTAAACCTTGTGGCACCAGATCCTGGAAATAGCCAACAAATGCACCAGTTTATTCCAGCTTTAGTGCTAAAAAATTACTGCAGCAGAAACAGTTTTGACTAGTTTTTAAAGCCTTATGTCTCACAGGAACATATGACTTGGGGAGTTTTGATAAGCCTTTAGAAACAACAAACATTACACTGTTTGGTGTTTTAATTGGATTTGTTGACAGTAACAAAAGCTCAGAGCACAGTTAGTCCTATTCTTTAATACTTATCGAAACTGAAAGGTTGATTTCACCAAACTTTCCTATAAGTTCACTAAAGAGATTTTCTTCTCTTTATTTTTATTGTATTTTTACATAACTTTTAACACTGAACCTCAAGCACTTTATTGGAGTTTTATTGCTCCTGTCATATTTTCACTCACAGTTGGCTCATTTTAAAATGCAATATAAAGTCCTGAACCTCTATATATATATGTATATACACACATATATAATAAAAAAAGATTGATTTACTTTACAAAAGTTGATATCGATCCATCCATCCATTATCTATTCACCGCTTAATCCTCATGAGGGTCGCGGAAGCCTATCCCAGCTGACTTAGGGTGAAGGCAGGGGACACCCTGGACAGGTCACCAGTCCATCACAGGGCTACACTTAGAGACAGACAACCAAGCACACTCACATTCACACCTACGAACAATTTAGAATCACCAATTAACCTCAACATGTTTTTGGACCGTGTGGGAGGAAGCCAGAGAACCCAGACAGAACCCACAGTGCACAGGGATTACATGTAAACTCCACGTGAACCGGTGACCTTCTTGCTGCGAGGTGATGGTGCTAACCACCAATCCACCTTGCAGCCCAAAGCTGGAATCAATATGTACAAATGTTTTACAAGTGCAGGTGTTGGTAATCCTGCCAAAAATGAAGGTGACTCTATATGTTACTGATATTTCACCACATGCATTTTACATTTTTACCATCTTGTCTGCTATTTTCTTTGTGTAAACACCTGCAGTTATCCAAAAAAGTCCTTGAATTTTAGTCACATGCTTGTTGACTGCAGCTGTGTCATGAATAATTCATTGCTTTTGAGAGGAGGGCCAAATCTTTGTTTTGTTTTTTTTGTTTTTTTACAGAGTCTGCTTAGTGTAAACAGTTTCTTTATTCATTTTCTTTTTTTAACTGAGATATGTAGAATAAAGCGATAAAATATCACCATTTTAATATAATTGTAATAATATAACATTTGATTAATTTTCCAGACTGAATTTGAAAATCTGATGAATTTTTCTGTTTTTACAGTTTTCAGGAAAAAGATAGATAACAAAAGATATCATGCCCTTTAAACCAAAATGCAGGTTTTGGTGATCAGAGAGTTAAGACAAACACTTTACTTTTAATAATTTCAGAATTGAAGTTTAATCTTTCTTCCAAGGTTAAGAAAGAAAATGATACATTTTTCTGTATATACTCCTACGTATATAACACCTGTGCCATAACTACGTAGTATTTCATTCTACAAATTGCACATTAAACGCCTTTCAAAGCCTTGCATTCAAAAGCAATCAACAGCTATTCAGCCAGTGCAGTTGCAAGATATAGCTGGGAAAAAAGGCACAAAATGCTATGCTTCATTACAGTGTTTGTGAATGTGTAATTGCCAGTATGCCTTTGTGTTTGGGCATAAAAAAGACAAGTGGCAAAGCTCTTGTCGGTGTGGGAACAAAGCGCCGCTATTCATGTGTGCAGAATTTAATCAAAAGATTAATTAGTACACAAACATGTTATTAGCACGGGCCACAAAACACTCCAACACACACAGTCAGACGGAGCTAATCCCAGCTGCCCACTGTGCTTTTTCCTTCAGTCTATTTCATGTCCCTGCATTCCTGCTGTGGAGAATATATGACAACAGGCAGCGAGCCACTAGAAGCACAGCTGAGAAGGCGGACAGATGGGATGTGTACGGGTGCGTTTGACTGTGTTGGTGTGTGGGACAAAGGAGCTGTAAGGTAATTCCTTACATAACAACGGTGCTAGCCTTGTTACATAATACATACAATGCAAGCACCCCGATGTCCTCTCAGCCTTTTTGTAAATGAATTTTTTTTGCCTTTTCTTTCCTCTACCTTTCATTTCCTGCCTTTTTATAACCAAAGCCAGTAACTCTGACTTTTCACTGTATTATGTCTGCCTCAAACTGGGTCCCAAGGAGCCTGAAGTGGCTTGTATGATATCATTTCCTGCCCTGAATTTCCCATGCCTCCGGAGCGGCATGCGAGCTAAGAACAGCAGCAGGAAGATGCCGGGATGAACATGTCAGCGGGGCTCGGCTGGGGTAATTGTTACAGTGAGGGGCACTAATGGATAACAAGCAGGAACGGAGGGTGGAAATATAGAGAATTTAGCCAATTTAACAAAGTTATAACTACATTTTGTTTATTAAAATTAGTCTTTTTTGTTTTTTTTTTGCAATAATCAAGATAAGGGATGGAGAAAACTAGGAAGCATAGACTACACACACACACACACACACACACGATGCCTGGAAAGCAGCCATATTCCCACATACGCTAAAGCACTTAGTCCTTCATGTTTAAAGGTCAAAAAAAAAAAAAAAAAGTAGTGAAGAAGACAGAGGAGGAGAGATGGGAGAGGAAGGAAGGGAGGGCGGGACGTTAAAACAGAATCTGTCTGTCCTGTCTCGTGTGGTTCATCCGCAATGATGTCGAGCCCTCAGGAATGTACTGTAAAACACAATCAATACTGGCATGAAATCAGTGCAGGTTCAGGCAGAGAGCCTCCTGTGCTTCACCGACTGACGACTGCAGAGTTTAGAGAGTCCCCGGATATATGATACGGCAGAATGGAAGGGCTGCTGCAAGTTAGTTAGATGGCTATAAATGTTTAAAATAAAGAGGTTTAGGAGAAGTATTAAAAGATTGATTCATAGAGTGGGACTGGATGAGACAAGAAAACTAAACAGCTGTGGTGGGTTGTGCCACCGTTTCTCCAGCAGAGGGTGTTAAAGCAAAGCATTTAAACCAAGCAAATGCATTCAGTGGCTTCAGGCCATGGTTACATGAAAGGGATGCAAGGTGTCTGTTTATGAGTTACATTTTGTTCCTTTTGCCATTCAGTGCCTGAGCATCTATTGTCATCTGGCTGCACAGAGACACAGTTCAGTGCTCAGCTTGGTCTGGCTGTCGGTGCAGCTTTGTGGTTTGGCAAAGTAACAGTGGTGAGTGTAAGAGAGAATGGCAGATAGTTAACTTTTACTCTGAAAGACATATTTCATGAGGGTTTCTCCACCGACAATTTTCATTCAGTAGCTACCAAAAAAATACATGATCTGAATACTTAAAAGGTTGTCTTCATATGTGTTTATAACCCCAATCAGAATCAACTTCATTAGCCAAGTTTTTGCATGCAAACAAGGAATTTGACTCCAGTGAATCTTAGCTCTCTGTGTAAGAAATAAAAGAAATAAACTAGACCAAACTAAGTTTTTTGCCATTCTTGTCACCTCCATCTTGTGTTTAGATGCACTGCTGCACGTCATTGACTTTGTATCTTTTCTCTGCTGTTGTGCTTCGTCCTCTCTGTCTCTCTGCAGGTATTTGGACCGACTTTGGAGCTGCAGCTTGTGATCCCTCCAACCTGTCCGGTGTTTATGATCTCTTGTTTGTCTACGCCGTCCTTTTCTCTCTCCCCTTTACCCTCAACCCAACCAGTCGAGGCAGATGGCCGCCCTCCCTGAGCTGCCGGAGGTCTCCTGCTTTAAAAAATATATATTTTTCCTCTTCACTGTTGCCAGTGTGCTTGCTTCTAGAAAACCTTTGCATTTGTTGGGTGTTTATGTTGTATTTTGTAGAGTCTTAACCTACGTATCAAAATTTGTTAGGTAAGTTGGTACAGTATATAATATTATAGGATTTTAACCTTAATATTTAAATTATTCAGTTAAATTTGTACAAGATGTAATATTGTAGAGTTCTCACCTTAACATTTAAAGTTGTTGCTTTATCTGAAGTCTTGCTCATCTATTGGAAAACAGTTCAAACCTTTTTAAATTTGCTAATGGTGGCTGGAATTGATGACAAATGCAAACAGGGATACAGGGAATGCAGAGTCACTAGCTGGTTTAATGAGTATAAAAATGATAATACTATTTATGGGTTGTTATGAATGAATTAATAATAATGACAGTAAAAGCAACATCCTTACAAGCAAGCCTCGCCCCTTGGTACCCATCTTGGTAAGCTTCTCACGTTAACAAGACCAGACCTCTGTCTAAAGGAATGGGGAGGAACCAAGACTGCAATTCCTGTGCTGCATGTATGGAATCTAAAGTCAAAACTGATAAAACTACTTCAAAAGTTTCGCCCAAAATAAGGTTTAAAAAGCTTTCTTCCCTCATATGTTATACCACTACTATTAATGCACGCAGTTTCAAGGTGCCACACTTGCAGTGCAGCAGCTCGATTGGCTGGTTGTTGCCTGGTTTGGCTGATACAAAGCAGACTATTGGCTATTTGAAGGGCGGAACGTGTGTCATACAATCACTATTTTTGCCGTTGTGGAATTCTCCCATATATTTTTATTCGGGATTCTTATATGTGGTGAGTCTCTCCTTAATAATGCCTCTAATAATAAATTTTAAAACAAGAGTGAGTCTATATGCTTCACAGCCACCATAATTCAACCCAGTTTAAAACTAAAGTGAGGGAGTCAGCCAAAAACAACACAATGAGAGCAGTGGAAGTAAAAAAAAAAATGTAAGTTGCTGGCAGGAAAATCAAAACATCTGATTCATCGCTACTGCAGAAAAACTGTGAAAATATCCACTATAACCACCTTTAAGTTGTATGTATAGAAGTCATGTGTACTTATAAATATAAACGCACTTGGAGGAATGAATCAGAAACTATTACTTTCAAAAAACCATCAGATTTGAATATCAGTTTAGTTGGTGTTTTTGTTTTTTTACAGCTGGCTCACAGTCTGCCAGCTGCTGAGAGGTGGAATGTGACAGGGGAGTGTGTGCGTTTGGGAGGGTGAGAAGAGAAAAGTGAGTATTAGTGCAAACAGAAGAGAGTCACACCATCTCATCCAGCACAGGCATAAACTTGCTTCACCATCTACATTCCTGCCATATCGCTCACTCCCTAGATGCTTCATACAATAATTGAGACAAATTTATCATCATGGGGAGCTCATTCATTCGTCATGTGTCACGGTTATTCAGAACCAAAAAAAAAACCAATGCACCTGGAAAAACCTCAGAATACAGAGAAGAGTAACTCATCTACTACAGCGAACCCAATTTACAGCTTAAAGCCTTTGTTGTGACAGTTTTGCTCTGCTGGATGTTGTGTTTACTCCCTGGGAAACGTGAGTCATGTGACAGGAAGCTGAGGAAGTAACCAGTTGGGTGAGCGGTACACAGAC